GTTAGGAACAATTACAATTTATATGTTAAAAGCAAAGAAAAGGAGGGGAAATGTGTAAATGTTTCCACAAATCCAGCATTCCTTCTTTCTCCTCCGCCATTCTCACCTCAAATTGCTTATTTAACCCAGTCCGACAACGCGAGTTTTTCATTTTGAACCTGAGAATGCCACTCCTCTTTTTTTTTGAGCTAGATCGGTTTGCTAGTAACGAGAAGGTCTAGTTGGAGAACCCATTGTTCGTTGGATTTTTCTTCTTAGGGGTTCTGGGTTTCTAGAAAGAAATCGGGATGGAGAAAATTCAACAAACCCAAAAATACACTCCTTTAACAGACCCAAAGACAAAATCAACAATTAGTTTGCATAATATTCTCTAACTCTTTTGCATCTCACAAAAAATACAATATTTGATAGATTTAAGAACTTCATCTCTCTTGGCGATCAATCCCACGAATGAATCAAACCCACTGATGAGTTCAAATTTTCTAAATCAGCTCCTTAGCAAGGCAAAGGGTGTTGCCATTTTTTCAGAGGATCTTGACTACAAAATTTGAGATTTTTGGTGCATCGAGAGGCAGGAAACTGGGAGTGAACTGGGGAAGATAATATGTAGGACTTTTGCACATAAGTCTATTTCTTTTAATAATCGAAGTACCATATTTAACAATCTTTAAATATCTTTTAAAACCCCACTATAATATTCAATGAATATAAGATTGTCACGTGGTGACAACGCAAGTAATTTCCTGCACTGTCAGCTCACCTCTCATTTGCTCATATATATAGATATGTGTTGGTGTGTAGGTATATAGATAGAGAGAGAGTGTGTGTAAAGCTAGAATAAACTTAAGTGGATAGGAGCATTTGTCTACCAACTTTTTTTATCAATTCATTATGCATTGAGATTCATATTACGCATCAAGACTATCTTTAAGATTTGTGCCTTGATGTGTATCAAATGCTAGCACAAATTTCAATGCAAAATCAATGGATACAAAAGTTAGTGCACGAAGGGTTCCTATCCACTTAAGTTTACAAGATCTTTGATATAAACTTAAGCGAATAAGAGCTCTTGATATAAACTTAAGTGGATAGAAGCCATTTGTGTACTAACTTTTTTTATCCATTAATTTTGCATTGAGATTTGTTCTAGCATTTGATACGAAGCATGAAATGAGTATGCTTGGTACCAAGCATAAAATATGTGCTTGATAGTGATGTTACTACTTCTCATCCACACATTTAAAGTGGTCCACTCGAAAATGGTTCCCACTTGATTACTCACTTATTGAATGAGTGGATGAGAGATGGTCACCTCACTATCAAGGATACTCATATTCCCCCCTCTCTTCCTCTATATATACACACACACATATACATACATATGTATATATATATATATACATACATACATACAAGCATACATATGAGGAATATGAGTATGCTTAGTAGTGACATGGCCACTTCTCATCCATTTATTTAAGGGGTATGAACCAAGAGGGACCATTTTAAATGGACATCTATGAATGTGTGGATGAGAAACATACACGTCACTACCAAGCACCAAATTTGTGCTTGGTATCAAGTATTCTCATCTCTCTCTCTCTATGTATATATTTATATATATATTCAAGACTTATTAAGTTGTTAATAGTTTTTTTTACTGTAGAAAATACAGAGTTTTCTTTTGGAACATTTGTTCATGCCTTGACGGCTTGAACTATAAAGTTGGAGATGTAGCTCTGTAGTTCAGAGCTAAAGATATTTTTGTCCTGAGCGGCAGCGGAATAGTGAGCTAACAATAAAGAAGTGGTGGTGTAGGTCTAATTTTTTTCCTTGTGGTATATCGTAATAAAAAGGAATAAGCTATGTTGCATAGACACGGGTATAGGTACGAGTACGGATACGGGACACGACAAATTTGTAAAAAATAGGGTATGGGGACACATCTGTATATATATATAAAATAATTCACTTTAGATCAATATTAAATTACATACCTACTACATTTTCATGCAGATATTCATGCAGATCAATGGCTTTCAAGGGAATATCAGCTATATATATAACAATTATCTTTCATGTCTCAACCTTTTATTTTATTTTTAGGTTCTTTCATTGTATTCAAACTCATTCTCAATCTCCCAAATGAAACAAGCCCCTTTGAATTATGTCCTTTAAGAGGGAAAAAAAGAAAACAAATCAAACTTTTTTGAGGGTACCCATTGCTGCTGCTATTTTTACCAAAAAATAACAATTTAATGAGGTATCATGGTTAAATAACCCCACTTTATCCATGTGGCACATGATGCCATCTTCCACTTAAACAAATTTTAAAAATTAAGAAAAGGTGGTGAGATGTCAGAGAGAGAAGCGAGAGAGAGATAGAGAGAGTTACCGCCATGTGATGCATGGTGTCATGTTCCACTAAAGCAATAAAAAATTAAGAAAAGATGGGGAGAGAGAGAACAGAGAGCATCTTCTTCATCTCTTTGCTCAGCCTCAAACCTTAGAAATCCATGGCCAATTTTCTTGAAAAAAAGGAAAACTCATGGCTAGGGAAAATTTTCCGTGTCCACGCCGTTTGGGTGTGGATCCGTACCTGAAACGTGTCGGACACGGGTACGCCCCCCTACTGGCCATATCGGGGTATCTAGGGAATAAGAGTAGAAAGCAAAAAGAGGTATAAGGTATAAGAGGAGACACTTCGCACAAATCTCAAAGTTACAATTAAGCTTTTATAGGCTACAACATAAAAATTAAATTTTAACTGAATCAAAATTTTAAGTAGGACAACATTGATTGATATTTTAGAAACTGTAAGCATTAACATAGTATGAAAATATAGCGAGGGTCAATTATTCCTGTTAAAATCGTAACAAAGGTGATGGTCTTGTCGCGTGTTACAAGAGCTGTAACCAGTGGAGGTCCTTGTGTTTGTTGCGTTTCTTAAGTATTTACAGACGTAAGCTTGATTTTCTTTCAGAGTGGGTTACCCATAAAAGAAATAGCTAAAATTGTCCTGACTGGCATGGTTCTGAGACAATGTTGAATTAACTTTTTGATTACTGCATAGAGGAGCACTTGTTTCGTAATTATTGAAATTATGGGTCACAATAAACGTTTCCATTACATTACATATTTGACGGACAATTAGATTTTTCTCTTGTCTATCCATTCATCTCTTTTTCTCAGTTCTTCATCTCTGTGACCTTTTTGTATCTCATCCTTTTTTTTGTGAAATTGCTTGTTGTTTGTTCAAAGAATTGTGAGAAAACATTATGAGGTGATATGAGTGTATTCAATTTTCTAAACCACTGTATAATGAGATGTGATGTAACTGGGAGAACATAGGCAGAGAAGACACGGGATCATTTCTTTGATACCAAATTGTGTAAAACTAAGGTTTAGTTTTAAATAACTCACCATGATTAGGTTGGTCCTTGGTAGGATGATTTAAAAGTAGAGCTTGGAGTTTGACTATTCAGATTCCAATTTTGAAATCTCTCCACCCGCACCCTATCCTCCTCCCAACCCTTCCAAACCCTTCACCTCCAAACACACACACAAAAAAGGGGAAAAGTTTACAGGAAAAGAATATGATCTTCTATCTGTTGAATAAGTGAATGGGTAAGAAAACAGTTCAAGGTTGACTAAGCTGTTATTCTTCAGAAGATGCTATTTTTAGCGTTGTTAAGCAGTAAAGTAGATACTTGACAAATAAGAGGTTGAAAAGGTTTGTGTGGCAACTGGCTTAATGCTGTCAGATGTGCTGCACATTAGCCTGAGCACAGTTCAAGAAGCTAGGGAGGGGGAAAAGTAGAAGAAAGAACAGGATACAGAACAGAAAAGAGATAACAAGCTAACATAGTCGAAAGTCGACCTTTATACATTCATCATGACTTTCTTCTACAATTGTTAGCCTTTAGGTATTCTGTTTAGTGTTTGAACTGACAAGTCAAATACCGAAATTCGTGAACGTCATTTTGGAATTCAAATAATACAATAAGATGCTTCCTTTCTGGATATCATCAAACCTTACAAATTCGTGCTTGCTGAGAACTTATTAATCATTAAAAATCAGAACGATCCTTATTTGAAACAGACTCCAAGCCTTGATTCAAATTTCTGTTTTTTCTCCTTGATAGATTGTAAGTTTCTAGCTTAAAATTTGAACCAATCTCATTGCACCTTTTGCTGAAGACCCTCGTAAATTAATGAAATACAAGTTAAAAAAACACCTCTAGTTAGTAAAATACTCAAGGTAATCGCCCTTTTCTAGTTGCATCAGGGTAACAAGGTGGGATCATGGAAACAAGGTAACAAGACGTGTGTAGAAGATTTTATATATCGTTAATTGAGTCTATGAGAGTGGAATTTCTTTTGGTTCTTTTAGTCCACAAAGCCTTCTTTATTCCCCATATCAGGGTTCTGTTTCTCATCTAAGGAACCAAAATCTGATTGGGATAGCTAATTTTATTAAAGGATTTCATTCAAAGTATGAAGATAAAGTATATTTCTATAATGGAAGTTTAATTGAAATTGGATTAAATTGATGCCTTCCTGAAATGGGCTTTTCACTTGAATTCTGCAGTATAATCTGGCCAAAGTATTATAACCACCCCATGTTATGTGTCTTATGGCTATATACTTATACAACTATTACATTGACAGTAACTTGCAATTGTGACATTTGCAATAATTTACCTCCTTACTTCGTCTATAATATTTCTCTTTCATTTTGAAATCTAGTCAGGTAAACTATTGGATGACAAACTTGATAGCTTACCGTAGCTGTTTATTTCATGATGTTTACCTTTTTATCTGTGGTTGAATTTGGTGATTTATAGCTCTTGCTGGTGCTGTTTCTTTGTCTTTATCTTTTCCTATCTTTCTTTTCCTCTGAGAATTCATAGTTAATCCGTTCAGCCTCGAAACATTTGAATTGTATTCTCATAATAAGTACTCATAGCTACCCTGGCTTTCCATCTTCTTGTGTTTAGCATGCAGAAATGGCAGATGACACTGTGCAACTGAAGACCCTACAAACTATATTGATCATATTCCAGTCAGGTTTGCATCCTGAAAATGAGGTAAAAATGATGTCCTTTTTATATGTTCATCATTAACTTAACTGTAGATTAAAAAAAACTACTATGATTCTTTTTTGTCCAAGGGATGTTAATTAACAGTTAAATGTTGGTTTGTTTACATTTGTATTATTTATAATTTCATATGATGCTGATTATGTAGGCAGGGTGTTACAAATGGGTGTATATGTGCAATGTAGACGCGGATGAGCTATCTAAGGCTGTAAGGGTGTGTTTGGCAACTTCACAAAACTTGTTTTAGATGGTACAACCTTGGCAATTCCTTGTTTTTAGTTTGGCAAAAGTTGGGCCCAAATTGAACTAGTTTTTTCTAGTTCCAAATCTAGCCCCTAAACTAGTTCTTTTGTGGACCAACCCTTATATGATTCAACTTCGACTTAGTTACTAGTCTAGCGTAATTCTATTTTGAAGTTGCCAAACACACCATAAGACTCTTTGCCATTTTCATCTTAACATAAATCAAGTTGCAACTTGAAATTCCTTTCACTATATGCTGCACATGCAATGCGTTTGTTCAAGCAAACTAAACATAGGGAGAGATCGAAAGAAGACTATCTGGAAAAATGAGAATATATATTCTCCATTAATTGTGTAGAACATAAAAGTTTCTATCTTGAGTTCTGTAGTATATGAGGTACAAATATAATTGTGAGCATTGGCTTGGGTCCATGTAATAATATAACAGTAATTTATTGAAATTTTTTTATTAAAAATTAGGAATAAAGTTGTAATCTAAGCAATTTTGTGTTCCTTGTTTATCTACGGAGATGTGTTAGGCAAGCTGACATGAGCCCAACAATTTAATTGTCCATCACACTGAAGGGTTTGTATTATACCCAATGTTGTAATCAGCATTGTGTTAGTCCCGATCACTATGTTATCCTTAATAACTTACCAAATGCCATTTTTAGGGTATTTTTCGAGATAAATCAGCTCAAATCTGATATTTCGGCCAAAATGCCAAAATTCAAAAAATTTAGCTACCTATAGTTCTTATCAGGTTGAGCAGGCTTTAGTTTTTTCTCAAAAGGCCTGATAACCACTGCCAAATCTAGTCCTATCCTCTTCCCTTTCCCTATCCTAATAAGAAAAATAGAAAAATAAAAATAAAAATAAAAACAAAGCCATAGACAAAAACCCACACATCAATCTCCTTTCTTTCAAGTAGCCTGTTAACTTCTGGCAGTAACAGGCAATGACAGCGACTAATGCAGGCAGAAGCCAAAGGCATCACCTAAAGGTTTTTTATTATACCTAATGCTATAATTATCAGTTGACATGTCCAACATGTTGGCCAACGTGTTAGTTGAGCTCTAGCGCTATGATGTCATAAATAACAGACCGAATTCTATGATGTCATACATAACTAACCGAATGTCTTTTTTTTTTCCTTTTTTTCTTTCTATATGATAAATTTTCTTACTCTCTGCCAGAAGGATATGGCTCAAGCTCTTGGTATATCTTTGCGTCTGCTCGAAAGTGGTCGATCCTCTGATAGCGTGCACAAGTTAGTTGAATTTGAACCCCTCATATTTTATTACATTGATCAGTAATCGGGTAACTTCTAATTCCCTTATGTTGTGGTCTAGCACTGCTGCAGCTACCTTCCGACAAGCAGTTGCCTTGGTATTTGATAAAGTTGTTCTTGTGGAATCACTTCCCTGCAGCAAAGTTGCTTCAGGAAGTCTAGTTTCTCGAACTAGCTCTGTCAGTGATGATGTTAGCCGTAGTATCAGTCACTCGATGTACGTAATTTCCTGTCTGGATATTATGTATCTTTAAATGATTGCATGTATTGCAATGTGCATCTATCTGTAAAACTTTGATTTCATGCCTCCATCTTTACTTTAAGAGACAGACACGACGAGGTTGTTGACAGGTCACTGGTGACTGATGCTGTCTCTAGAGAGCCAATGCTACGCGAAGGTCTTAGCAGAGCAGGAAAACTTGGGCTTCTTCTGCTTGAAGACTTGACAGCACTTGCGGCAGGTGGATCTGTATGTGTTGAATGAAATCTAACATTTGATTTAGTAAACAATTTCATACATATATCTCTATATCTGCTGTATAAGTATGGTGGTTTTAATGTTACTTGTCAAACAATAGTCACATTCTGCTTGAGTTGACAAATGTGCAGTATAATGCAACAGCTATTTTTAAATGTTAACTTGTCAGACATGTTCTGTATACTAACATCAGTTGTTATTTTCTTCCCAGGCAACCTGGTTGCATATTCATTCACTTCAGCGAACATTTGCCCTTGATATACTAGAGTAAGTATTCTGCCTTTCTTTTGTATGGTATGTTATTTCTTCTCTACTACATCAACTATCATAAAACTTCCGTTCTTCATTAGTGTGTTGATCTTTAACAATTTTTGATATCTTTTCAATTATCTTGCTCAATGAGAGTTGTTCCGTACGTCTTGTCATGAAGCTAAAAAAATAAAAATAAAATAAAATAAAATAAAAATCATCTATTGTCCTGTTCTTCATATTGCTTATTTCATGCTATGTTGTGAATTAAGCAAAAAACCATAAATCTTGCTGACATCACCTTTCTGATAGGTGAGCTCCTATGCCATTTGCATCTTTCCTCATCCTATAAATTAGAACGTTGCCACACATCAAACTTAACATTGTTAGCATTGAACAGTAATTCATGTCAGCGGATTTTTGTGTAACATTCTCAACAATGACATCGTTTGTATACTTTTTTTTATTTAATTTCTTGCAAATTGCCTCCAAATCCTCATAGCATGTTTTTCACTTTTAATACTTGGTCATTGGAAAAACATGCGTATTTTCAGTCTATCCAAGTTTAATTTCCACATCATTTTTTGGTTTTTTTTCTGTTGTTTCTTTTTAATGAATGAAACATATGAGATTTCTTCCCTTACATGGAAACTTATAAAGGGAAACTCTCTAGTTTTTTCATATGCTTTTTCTCAATGAAAAAGATCGTCTGTTATACTTCACATTTGTATATTATAAATGGTATTTTCAAAATGCATGTTATGTTCTTAAGCATCAGATGATTCCAAAATACTTGATAATAAATGAGATCCTCTGCTATCTTTTGTGGTGATATTTACTTATCCTTTATGACAGCTCCTTTGAAATGATTGAGGTCAACGAAATAAATAGGGTAGTTTACATTTTGATGTTTTGCGATATGCCCATTTATTCATTTAGTGCATTTTGTTAATATTGATATTCAATGATTCCTGCATGATTGATGTGGAATTGACTTTGCGAATTTTTTTCCATTGTTTCCCCAGATAAAAACTGTGTCCTAATTAACATTTGTTAGATATACAGTTTTTTTTCTTCCAAATGTTGATTGTGGTAAGAATACCATGGTGAAAGTCTTATGCAATAAAACCAAATTGAGTCATGAAGATTTTTCATCTAATATTTTTCTGACTCATTCGGGCAGTTGTCTCTAAAACAATAATAAAACAGTTTTAGTTTATCTAATGTGGACAAAACTAAACATTCTATCAGCTAGTTGCCTTGTACGTTCATAAAAATTTACTGCTGAAATTAATAATTGCTTCCACATGAAAGTTGGTAGATCAATAGGATGGTAGCTACTGCCAATCATAAAAAGCAGAACATGTTTAGTAATGATTTGTCAAAGAATCATATAAAATATGCCTTCTCTTTGATTCAAGTAACTTTACTTGGTGTTGGTGAGACAGTTTTTAGATAAACTTATTTTTCAGATGCAGTCCCTTTGCCTGCATTTTTCTTTAACATGAACTTAAGAATGAATAAGGGATAGAGCACCTATCATGAAACAAGGTTGCATTGGTATATGGCTGGGTGATAGGGGTGTTAACAGAGCGGATACGGTTCGGATATGGCACTTACCATATCCACATCCGCTTTTTATAAACGGATACGGATACAGATACGAATTATCTTCGGTAAGAAAAAAACCTTAACCATATCTGCAATCATCGAAAACGGATACAGTTTGGATATTAGAGAATCGAATCAGATACGATCACTGATATGAAACAGATATTTGACAAACGGATATGATTCGGTTTTTGTACAAATGAGTTGAGCAGATATTAACATCAAATGATAAAAATATAATAAAATAATCACAAATATATAATATCATCAATTGTACCTAGAAATGCTATAAAGTATCTAAGCAGTTGATATAACCAACAAAGCAAAGCATCAAAAGAGCAATCTAGATATGTAATATCATCATTTCAAAACAACTTAATTCACATATAAACAGAATTACTTCAAACAAACACCAAACACAAACAAATAAAGCTACATAATTAGTTCTATAGAGTTTCAATCTAACACATCAAGCCAAAATTTAACTAGAATATGATACTTATAATCACAACTTGACAAAGCAAATGTATGTAAAACTAGAATTTCGATTCAACCTTATGGAACAACAAGGATGATGGATCAGCGAGGATGGGCGGTGGCGGACTAGGCGTGCTAGTCCTGCTTGTGGAGGAGTGCGTCGGAGAGGGGCAAAGGAGGAGGGAGAAGACGGTGGCGGAGGTCGAGCGACGAGGGGTCTGATGGCAGATCTGAAGGAGGAAGTCAGCGGAGGTCGAGCAAGATGGGGGGGTCTTGTCGGGCGAAGAGGAGGCGGGGGAGGGGAAGGTGGGAGCGAGAGGGAAGGTCGAGCGAGAGGGGAGGAGTGACAGCAAAGAGGAGGAGGTGGGTGCCGGAGATGGAGGGTGAAAATCGACATCTCGGTGGAGCGGGTGTCGGAGTGGGGAATGACAACAGATGTTGAGGGAGGGAGTGATAGCAGAGGTTGAGAAGTTAGAAATTGAGGAATGGAGTCGGTAAAGCTAGGGTTTTTTATCTAGATATTTGGGTTTTGGGTTGGTTAGCGGTTATGGGTTTGGATATATAAATGGATCTCAATTTTTATGTTAATTGAATTGCGGATATCCGTGTTGGGGAACACCCGAGGCTACGCTAAACCCCTAAAATAGCAGAAACACTATAGAAAAAAGTACATCAAGATTTAACGAGGTTTGACAAACTTGCCTACGTCCTCAGAAGCCACACAATTAATTTCTTATTAATCTAAGAAATTACAATGCAAGAGCAGATCTCAAACTTGAGATCTCTCAATAAATGCAATACCAACACACTGTAGCTACAGTGTTAATTTCCTCTATTAAATATCAATTCTCTCTCTCTCTCTCTCTTAAATTCTCTTTTATTCCCCCCTAAAATCGCGTGAGAGCTAGAAAAAAGAAAAAGAGGAGCCGCCACCGCTTGGGTGAAAATCGCGAGGAGGAGAAGCAGCGGGGGCTAGGGCACAGGGTTTCCCTTTTATAGGGAAACCCTAGCTGAGCTGTCGACAGGCTGTGAGGAGCTCGTCTGCGCGGAGCCGCCTCGCCCGCGGATTACCTCGAGCTCCCCTGCAACGCCCCCAAGCTCGCTTGCGGAGCGGCGTCACCTCAAGCTCGCCTGACGCAAGCCTTGAGCCCGCCCTCGCCTGCAGTCCTCCTCGACCTCGCCTAAACTTCAATCTCGAGCTCGCCTGACGATCTTCTCAAGCTCGTCTTGAGCTCATCGTCGACCTCGCCTGCTCGACTTCGGATCTCGTCCTCGCCCGCGCCACGCTTGAGCTCGCCTGATTTTCGTCGACGTCGCCTGAGCTCGCCTTGACTTCGAGCTCGTCGCTTGCAGGTTTGGTCTACACCTAAACCAACAATCTGTATCCGAATTCGCAACCGAATCCTACACTCATATCCGTATCTGAATAAAAAACCAAAACTGGATCCGTATCTGAAACTGTATCCGTCCGGTTGAAACTGTATCCGTCCGGTTTTAAAAATATCTTACCATATCTGCATCCGTTCGGATACAGATGCGGATCGTTTAGGATAAAACCGAACCGTTTGGCACCCCTACTAGGTGATATTTATTAGTATTTGCCATTTCGTTTCCTATTAATTTTTTGATCACTTTTTGATCTTTCTGTCTGTTTTTATTTGCTTATTGCAGGTTCATTCTGTCCAATTATGTTACTGTCTTCCAAACTCTTGTTTCTTATCAGCAGGTTCATTTCTCTTATGTGTGTGTGTATTCTTTGTTTATATATTGACATGTCAGTTTTGCAGCTCTCCAATTTGTGCTTACTAACTTTGTGCTTGCTTTGTGCTTGCTTTGTGCTCAATAGATTTTGCGTCACCAAATTTGTTCCCTTCTGATGACTTCACTTCGGACCAATATTGAGGTATATGTCAATTTTATGGGTACATTTTGAGTTCTGTCCTTTTCTTTGGTGGGAAAGTTTTTCAACTTTGTTCTTCTTTGCATAATTTTGTTGCTTATGCGCTCTGCAGCTTGAAGGTGAATCCGCGGAACCCACCTTCCGCCGCCTGGTTCTCCGTTCAGTTTCACATGTTATCAGGTTCTATAGCTTGTTCCTGGTCACTGAAAGTGAGGTATTTTGTGACCTATCATTCTTATGTGAAGTATAAAGTGGAGTGCTTTTAGACTTTGAGTTCTATGTGATTGTAGTATGCCTCTGGAATTGACGGAAATTCTATTAAACAATTAATAAGACCCACATTGCTTTAAGGATCAGTTTGTTGGGCAAATGAGAAACAACATGTGCAAAAATTGAGTGTATAAAAAATGTGAATGTTATAATGGACGAGTGAATATGCACTAAGATAGGATGAGTGTACTTGTAGAAAGTTAGAGGTTGACCTCTTTGTGGATAAAATGAGAGAATCATTTGAGAATTGAGATGGTTTGTCATGTGCAACAGGAGCTGTCAAATGCACCCATTAGGAAAAGTGTGAGATTATAATTAATGGAGAAAGACGAACTAGAAGTAGCCTAAGAGAACTTTCTTTATAGACTTTTAAGAAGGATATGATAATGGTGAACTTAGTGGAGGAGATAACCCTCAACAGAAATGAGTGGAAGAGTAGGATTCAAGTAGCCGGCCCCAAAAAATTGGGATAAAGACTTGTGTTGTTGTCCTGGTGTACGGTATGCCTGTGAAGCATATCATGCATTCTCTTTTTCAGATGCCTGATTCATCTGAAATAGTCAACACTTAATGTTAACATCACTATGCCTTGGTACCTAAGTATTTTTACCAATTTTATGATTTTGCTAGAGATGCTAAATCTGGCAAACTACTATTATGTTTATCAATAATTACAAACTTCATTATTAATCTAAGTTTTGCCAATTGATAACGATGACAAGGGTTAGTATTATTTCAAGAAGGAACAATTCAACGTGCTATTGTAGCTATTGATAATATATTCTCTTTTTTCCAAACTATTGGAGAAAAATCTCAGGTTTTATTAATCTGCTTTTATTTACTTAGATGGATATATTATCAACAGATACAATAGCATGTTCATTTACCATTCACTATGGCTTAGTTCTTCATTTCAGGAGAGAAGCTTGTTTCCTGTTCCCGTGTTCATTGAATTATGGTGATGACTACATCTAGTCCGAAGTATTGGTTGTTTAGCATTAACTTGAACCTTCACCTGGACTGGACATCTTGCAACTTGGTTCATTAATATCATCTCCAATAACCATTTTACCCAAAAATTTAAGCTATTGATTTTGGCGAGCCAATAATCTTGTACTAAGCAAACTCAAGATTGTTCTTCATAAGTGTAAGTTACCTATTCCTACCTGGGACAGTCTCATTCACTTATTAGTAAATGGGTGCACAAAAACATCGCTGTATCTTTTATCTCATTGTACTATATGGCATATGAATCCTAGTTCCGTTATAAAACCTGGTTTACAATTTCAACTATATTCACTTATGTATCTAATTATTCTCTCTTCACGTGCCTTCACCGACAGTGTAGCCCTAGTAGCAGCAATAACAAAGCTTTTCTTCTCTACTTGTTGGGGTTCTATTCTAAGCCTTATTTCAACTACATGTTTATGTGTATTAGCGACCTATCTCTTGCCAACTTTTTCTTTGCTCGAGTGGAATGCTGTTTTTTGAACACGTCTTTTATCCCTGTTCCCTGCGGCATATGAATCATGTGCTATAATTCAGCTATATGCACTCAATTTTCACCTATGTTTCTCGATCACCATCCTCGAGTTGCGGTCAATAATATTATTCGTCAAATACAAGGCACCAAAATTACTTTTGGATCCACCAGTTGAAGTGTGTCTATAAAGGCCCTTATAAAGGAGTAGCAGCACATAGTATTTGAAGGGAAGACTACATTTCTTTTAATGACAAGGATTTCATTAGACCACTCAGTACATCGGAAAAGGTTTATGGAGAGACATTAACCTGTAACATCTAGGTCGCAATTCCCTAAACGTTCTCATTTTACCTTGTTTACTAGACTCTCTCCTAGTCTTGGCAATCTGGATGGTTGTTCCGAAGTTGCATGAGCTTTATCTGTACGATTTAAAGGTTAAGTCTATCTACCTACAAACTAGCCTTTGATATTTCACAGCACGTTCTTTTCTTCTTTGCAGTTTCCATGGCCATGTTTTTTGGTCACCAAGTCACAGAATATTGTTACCGGCTAACAGATGAATGCTAACATTCCCATGGTTTATTGGGGGGAAAAAGAAAAAGAAAAATCTTCTTCAATTCCCTCCTTATGGTTTCATCACCAACTGCAAAACTGATTCAAGCCGTTATATGGATATAGAAACTTCATTAGTTCTTTATTTTAGCTTTCTCAGTTTTGGCTCCTGCTCCCTATGGATGTAGAACCTTAATTAATTTTTTGATAGAAAGGCTCTGACAGATTGTGATGACCAACTTATGACATCAGTTCTATGGCTTACATTTGTAAGGATGTTTGTTCTGTTGCCAGTCATTTGCGGTTGTAGTGCGTCATTAGTTTAAATTTCTAACTGTGGCCTCGTTTAAGTTTTTAGTGCAAGCTGTAAATCCTTTTGGGTCCTATAGTAGATTGAGCGGCCACAAGTACTGCAAGAAGCCTACTTGTTTATTCATCACAAAATTATGATTCTTAGGATGGTCAACTATATTTCTTTCAAATGTCAAACTAAGCGGAACTGATACTCGTATTTCTAATAATTTTCTGATGTGTCCTAAATTCTATTAATATTCTCTTATTTTTGGACTCTTGATTTTTCTCTGATGTACTCCGGCACTTGTCAGGTATGGGAAACATTTTTCATTCTTTATTTAAATTATAGTATTTTAAAATGGAAAAATCTATAAACGTCTATGGCTGTGATTAAACAAGTAGTAACTTAAGCAAGAAAAATACAAAAAATTTGAATCTTGAAACATTAATGATAACATATGAAAGAAATACCTTCTTCGTGAACCGTTTAGAATAGTTAATGCTTTATTAAAGTATATTTTTGTTGGTGTTTTGTCTTGCTTTCCTTTTTGAAAATTTACTGTGACAACATCTTCATGTCAATGTGTATTTAGCTTCTTTTTGCCTTGCTGTAACATAACTATCCTTGTCCTAGATTTTGTAAAATTTAAAACATCTTGCATGTCTGTCTTTCCCATTCCATGTCTGTCTTTCCCATTCCCCTTCTTATGACAGTTTTACATAGCCCATTGCTTGTTTTTTTCACTTGAATAGCTTCTGAAGTGCTACATTCTGGTTTTTCATACCTGAATTTATTACTTCTGCAGGTGTTTCTTAATGTTTTGGTAAATGTTACTCGTTTTGATTTGCCATTATGGCATCGGATACTAGTTCTTGAAGTATTAAGAGTAAGTTTCAGAAGCTTGAATGATGGCATCCATTTTTCGTTGATATATCTACATCCTTTTTAATATTCTAATCCTTAGTGGTTGTGATATATCATTTACCACTTCCTCTACAGGGTTTCTGTGTAGAAGCCAGAACACTGCGTCTACTTTTTCAGAATTTTGACATGTAAGGTTCTAGACTTCACGATCGTCCTGCCTAGTCTGGAGCGGTCTACTCTTTTTCGTAATAACTGAGATACCTAAATCTTTTGCATTATAAAATTTAATGAAAGAAAAGGATCCCTTTAGTGGACCCAGAAGTTTGGGAGAAAGAATTCATTGTTGTTGTTGCTACCATATAGAACTTAAGCCTATCTTAAAGGAATTTATTGATGTCATTTGTATTGACAGGTAATGTATCTATTATCTAACTATGTGAGCTCTTCTGAATTGTTGATGTTTTCCTTTTATGGTGCTTCGGTGCTCTTATTCACTACCTCTAACACAAGCGAATTCATAATTGCGAATAAGCCTACTAATTACTAACATACTATATGTTGTATAGTCATGTGTTTTTGTCACATGATGCATATTGGCAGTGCGAGAAGCGGATGATGAGTCTTGTTATTGTTGATCACTTTGTTTTGATTGATGATGTTAATCATGTTTTATTCACTGCATGTATTTCAGACAACACCGTATAGTTACCGTATGGTATCTTGTACTTGTAACTTCAAACTCAGATCTTTGAATTTATCTCGTTGATTTGTTGAAGCCATGCTGTCGAATAATATGGCGACAACCAGTATATGCAATCTGGTTGTTCTTATGTTCTAGCACTAGTAAAATCCTTCTCTTAACTGGCCAAGATTCCAATGGAGCTTCATGTTTGTTTAGACAGCAGTTTGTAAGCCTAGAAAAAAGAATCCTTTACCAAACATTTCATAAAGTGAAAAATCTAGTACTTTCGTGTATATTAATTGTGGAAACTGAGCAGTTGCACGGACCAAGCTGGTGGTTGTTCATGGCTGGCATGAATCTAACGAAGCTGCTTTTGTTTTATCAGGCTGCTATAACATGCTATAACATGCTATATGCACATGAATACTGTTTAAAGGTTACACTTTGTCTCTTAGATCTGACTTTGTAGTTTTCTTCTCTAACTTGCTCATTTATGTGCTATAAGTTATCCAATCATATTAAGTCTTCCACAATCTTTAATGTTTTATTCAACTTTCAGAATGTTTCCTATTTGAAACATGATTGGCATTTCTTATGAATATTTTGAATAAGTTGATTATATTCACATTCTACGACATATTGGTTTTCCATCTTCTGTACAATAAGTTACTATTTTTTTTTATTTTTAAAATATAGATATTGTTTGTGCAATGGTGAAGTTCTCTTTTAATGTTTTTGGGCCTTTCATGTCTTTATTGTGTTTCCTTTTTCACTGATAATTTTCTTTTCTTTTTGAAGGGATCCAAAGAACACTAACGTTGTTGAAAATATGGTTAAAGCACTTGCTCGAGTTGTATCAACTATTCAACTGGTATGTTCATGCACTTCTCACTCCCTCATACCTCTCAGTTCACATCTAATTCTAGTCACATTTCCTTGTTATACCTAGTTTCAATTGGAAGTATATAGTGTTCAGAGTTTAGACCCTTTTTTCTTCACACTATTGCTAATTTGCATTTACCTGCTGTTTCCCACTCTCATAGCTGCTCTTTGGTCCAACATTTTTGACTTCTTTCTGAAAGTAAATAGTTTGCTGATGTATGTTGACAGGTATAGAATTCTGGGGGTCGGGGATGAATAAGGTGACATCAGCAAATTCAAAATAACGTAAAGTGTGTGAAACAATAACGTGATATGAAAAATTACATTGAAACATAAATCATAGTTTTCAAAATTAATAAAACAATCAAGATGTAACAAAACCATTTTTTACAAGATAGTAAGATCAAGATCAATATATCCACAATAAAATCCCGATATCTATGTTAAAATCTTGACTATCCAAGAGCTAAAAGATAACTGGCAATCTCCCACAAGAGTTTCATTTTCAAGAGCTACAATCAAAATATCTCAATGTTGATTATAAAATTTAAATTATAACTCTTACCCCTCACCACAACTTTAGAGTTTTAATGCAGTGGAAGGGATCTTTAACATAGTATCAGGGCAACTAAGTTCAAATCCCACCATTCAGGTATTTAAAGCGGATTTTAGAAAAAGAAACCGCTACACTACGTTACCTAGGTGCTTCTATCATGAAGCCGTCCCCTATCGGATACGTATCCGATACTTACCTGTACCCAAACTTCATGGACACTCCTTGGATATATGCTTACTTTTTTTCTCAAATGTGTACTCAATTATATGATATATGTTTTAATTTAAAACATTTGTCATACACTTCTTAGACATATATCCTACACATCCATTTCTTAAAACTCTTTAGACATGGGTCGGGTTCGTTTTCGCCCATATTGAAGTTCAGAACTATGATTTTATGATTTTAAATGGTCTTTTGGGTCTCTAGTTAAAAAACGAGCGGTTTCCACTTTATAATTATCAACATAAGAAAGAAATTTACAAATGTGGATATAATTTTAATTCTAATTACACATGAATTGGAAAACAATAAAAATCTCATGTAAATTATTAATTTCAATATGTGTGTAGCTGTGTCCCCGTACCCTACAATTTACAAGTTTGTTGTGTTCCGTACCAATACCGGTACCCATTTCCATGTAACATAGCCGATGCACGAGTCCATGTTACGGCCCATAAAAAGGACTCAACCTGGGTTGGGACATGTTTGTGTCTAAAAAATTAACCTTCAATCCTCACCAGGAGAGACATTCAGTTTACAGATCAAAAGGCAGAAAAGAGAGGAGCCATTCTGTAGTAATTTAGCAGGTTCATATCTTTACTACCACAAAGCTCTTCTCTGCCTTATGGGTTTTCATTATCCAATCTCCCCAAGCTGAGATATCATCCAATAGAATCTTGGGTAAACAAGAAGTCTCCTTATAGCTTGCTAATATCATTGTTTTAAATCCCCGACATAACTGACATACGCGGATGGTGTATCCTTTTACAAGGTTTGCTGCAAATTGATATGGTCTTAATATCCTTTACCACTTTTTGGCAATTTTTGAGTGATGTATTCCTAACATGGCCGATATATTAGCCGATTATGTCTGTCAATATGTCTTTTCATATAGCTTGTCACTGAACAATGTAGTTCTTCAATTTTTTTTAATATTTGTAAACAAAAATTCTTGTCATATGAAGTTTTTTTTAGCAAATTCTAGTATGCTCTTTACCTATGTAAGTTTATATGATTGTTAGTGATTCTAAACACATATTATTTATATTTTTTATGCTTAGATTTCATTAAGTACGTTGATATTATGACACTCAAAGTATACTTATATAATTTGCCATAATATCGGATGATGTGCATATAGCTAATATCATACACAAACATTAAGAAGAAAGTTAATCTCGGCCTGCTAATATCATACGCAAACATTGAAGTTGGTCAGTTACTCGCTGGTACCCCAAACTTCAGTTTATTTGCAAATAAGAAGCTCATATCTAGTGGTGAATGTAATCTTATTTAATAAAAAACATGTTTTTCTGGTTCCAATATTTGCAAGATATGAAAATGCCCGCTTTTCAAATATGTAAAATAAGTTCAATCTTTCTTTATTATATGATATTTGAATACATTCAAATAATAATGAGGAAGATATGAATATGTTAAAATGGATTTAATGATCTGTGTGCAGTCAGTCTTGCTTAGAACAGATAATATTGCGCTTGAAAAATCTCAAGGCAGACCTAGTCAATTGGCGAGTCGTCCAGGTGAGTTTTCCCTTTGATCGTGTGATTAATATAAATCTAAAGCGGTTTGATAGATCAATGAAGTTGACTATTAGTGGCTTGTCTCCAAACATTGTCCATGTTTGGACCCGGCTGACAATTTGTTGCTCGAATGGTTGATAATTCAACTGAGCGAACATCTGACCTTCAATAGTACTCAGTTTAGTGATCCCTTGCTGGTTGGAAATGTGTTAGATTGGTCCAGTGGGTAGTAGTTTGTTGTATCATCAGTTTTGGATGCATAACCAGCGAAGTGTGCAAATGCAACTAAAACTATTCAAATTAATAGTTGCGATGAATATTCAAAGCTTGGAAATCTTATTAATCGACTTAACACTCAAAGTATACTTATATAATTCGCTTCAAAACATGTATTAGATGTAGTATTGACTTGTAACACTGTAACTTGAGTTCTTCAACACTTTTGCTTTCTTGGTCTTAGTCCTTCATCATTCAAGCTTCTTGAATTTTGGTCCATATTATTAAGTACTGACAGCCTTGGTTCTGTCTGTTACTTCACAAATTTGTTGTCATCAAAACCAAGTATATCATGATTGAAGTTCTTCTCTTTCTTGATGATGACATAATTATACTCCAACGTATCATAAGGTTAAATAGCTCCCCACAAATTCATGACATGCACAAAACTGTTGCTTAGATATAAGTTTTAGACATTCAGCTTCTTGATTCAAAATTTTGAACATTTAAAAAACTTATACACCAAATTTTGTTGGATTTCAAGTATTTTAGACCGTAAAAGATGCTTTTTTAAGCCAATCATTTAATACCAACTTGATCCCTGAAGAATACCTTTAAGTACTTCAATTTGATTGTTTTGACTCTTTGGATAGTTGCAGCCACAGTGGGCTGATCTGGGTTGACCTGTGAGATAAGCTGTGTAGTTTCCATTGGTTTGTATACTCCTTTAAGCGTTTAATATGTATCTATAGATGGTTCATATGATTGTGATTTCAGAACTTTGTATGCACCCTACACTAATCAACAACTACACTGAATCATTATAGTTCGTACTATTTGCATGATCATCTGCCAATTGAAGCGCCTTACTGGATCCTATTAAACTTCTTTAATACAATATTTCTTTTATTTATTTATTTAGGTTTCAGAGTCAAGTGAAGAGAGCCTTGCAGCTGTCGCGGGAATGTTTAGTAGTAAAGCAAAAGGTATTTCTTGTAAAGTTGGAAGAACTTCCCATTTGCTTCTGTATGTTAATTCATGATCATGGTAAAGGACCACAAAATGAAAGAGTTAACACATCTCTCAAATGCAAAAGCTAAGAGTTAAACAGAAGGATGCATAATTACAAGAATTTTTTAACTTTTAATAACCTAAGTAAAGTTTTGATTATTTGGTGAATAAGATAGAAGCAAGTTGTTGATGGACTGCTGGATGAGCTCATATGTTGTGATCTCATCTAACCAGATCGAAGTTAGATAGCCGTTTCTTGCATTAAGATCAATTTTACTATTATTCTATAGTCATCTGCTAAAAGGATACTTTTTTCCTAGATAGGGGAATAAGCCACCTACGACTGAAGTCTATGCTAAAATTAGAACATTTCCAAACTTTTACCATCAATATGGGGCTGCCTACGATCAGTCCTCAAAGCTTGTACTACTCTGCACCATGAAAATAGAATTGATCAAACGTTTAAGATTAGCCGAAGCTCTCTATACACAAATGTGAAATGGAAATGTAGCCATTAGATTACACTGATCTATGGTCATAGTTTTTATATTGGAACCATTAGCTATTTTAGGCTTAATTGCAATTAAGTAGTTGCTAAGAGTCCTTTTGCATATCTCTGATGGGTCACTTTATGTTGTTGTGAGTGGATCAAGCATTTTAATTAAACAAGCTAGACTTGTTTAGTTAGTTCTTCAGGGCATAAAAATTGTCGCAGTTGAATCCATTTGACTTGTATATCAAAATTGTGACTAAGATGTTGTCACTTTGTGTTGTCTGAAGTAGATTGATCATTTGAGGACCGAGTATCTTTTTAAAAAAAATTTAACTTAGGACTGAGATACGTATGGCACTCAGATCCAATAAGGACAGTTAAGGGCTTATGTAAATACTAAGTAGGCTGTGGATTGGCACAAGTGGCGTTTGAATCTTAGACTTCATGCACCTTATGAAGAGGTTTTATTACTATGCTACAAATGACACTTGCTTTGGTCATTTTGTTATTTTTGTATGAGATGAGGGGTCAGTGCTCTGGACCATATAGGTTAAATTTTTTTTATTCCTATAATGTTTTTCAACCCTTACATCTCTTCTTCCTGTGTGTCATCTTTTCCTTCTTCACCTCATCCCTTTCATTTCTTTTTTATCTTCTTCAATTATGTTCTCTTCAAATATCAAACTGAAATTAACAATTAAGCTGGTCTGTGGCTTGTATCAATTGAATTGAAAAACCTTTTTTTAGCTCATATTATAGGGCTTTTATAGAAAGAAAGACATTTGCAGATTTAAGAGAAACCTAAGCATCTTACTTGTTTGTACAATTTTCACTCATTTATTATGTGAATAGAGTAAAACTTTAAATTTAACTATTCATTAGTTCAAATCTGTGTTAAACTGGAAATGATTTTTTAATTTTCATTTTCTACAGTTGCACTTATTTTCTGGCATCCAAACATGCCCTATTAATTCATATAAGTTTTATGTCACGTCTGAATTGATGGTTTTAAAATTTTGATGCTCTAACAAATACTTTTTCAATTGATAGGTTGCAGGGTCGAATCATATTGCTGGGATCCTAGTTAACCTCTTATTAAGATTTTAGCTCTCCATTCAATTAGATCTGATCTTAATATGTTTGTTCACCTTTAGTTTGATCTAATTTCTGTGTGGGATCATTCTTACAACCACAAACAGTGCCCATTGGAAGCGTTTTTCTAGCTCTTTTGTATGTTTCTTCTTGAATTTAGAACTTCCAGAAGTATTACAGAGTCATGACTACCACAATTAATGGGCATTCTAGCCTTACTGAGTTAAAAAGCTGGCATTTTATTTTAAACTAATCTAAATTTTATGCTCTTAAGGTCCATTCTTATTTCTTCTTTTTATTTTTGTGGGAGATAGAATGTCTAGAAGAGATGGATTATGGCGTCCTTATTTGTTCGTTAGAGAAGATAATGAAACCTTAGCATGTGGTTGAAGGTGTATGTACATATATATCTGTAAATACTAATCTTTTGGATCAAAATTTGCTACTCATTTAATCTTTATGTATCTAAAAGCATGTGTTGTCTTTTCTTTCTATATGATAAGCCTATGGTAGTTTGATGTTTGTTCCTTCTTTTGTCAATCTTTAGTAAGTTCAGTTGAGGGAACATACCCTGTGAATATTAAATTACTTGCATTTATTTGGAAAGGCTTAGATTTCACTACTGATTAGAGTGTTAGCAGGCATTGAATGGAGCATGGATAATGATGCATCTAATGCTGCTGTTCTGGTTGCCAGTGAAGCCCATGCTATTACTTTGGCGGTTGAAGGACTTTTGGGTGTTGTGTTTACAGTAGCTACCTTGACTGATGAAGCTGTTGATGTTGGTGAGGTTAGGCCAGTTAATTCTTTTATTGTTAACTATGAGCTTAACATAATATATCTGTCGATCTAACCAATTACTTATGCAGATTGAATCACCAAAATATGATAATGAGCATAGAGCAGAGTGCACTGGGAAAACAACTGTTCTTTGCAAATGTATGGTTGATTCAACATGGATGACCATTCTCGATGCTTTATCTCTTATCTTAGCAAGGTCAGAGGACATCAGTTGTTCTGTATCCTTCCTTGGAGTTGTTTCAACTAAATGACATGCAATCTCGTTGTATAGGTCTCAGGGGGAAGCCATAATATTAGAAATACTGAAAGGATATCAGGCCTTTACCCAGGTAATAATATCTTTTGAGATAATGTTCACTACCTCAATATGATTTATAGTGAGTACTGGAAAAAACTTGTAAGTGCGTTTATACATTGCTGTTGTTGGAATGTTTTTTCTTTTCCTCAAATGAGGTTGAATATTATTAAGTTGCTTAATACTTTCAAAAACAGTGCAAGGTTTTTGTGTGCCATGTCGTGCTGATTCTTACGTAATTGAATTCTTCTTAGGATTCGTATAATTTAATTCTGTTATGGATCTTTCATAGTTAATAGTTGCAGTTCACAACCTAAGTATCTACATTTACTTTAACTGGGTGTTTGCCTATTTCAGGCATGTGGAGTTCTTCGCGCAGTGGAACCATTAAACTCATTTTTAGCATCCCTTTGTAAATTCACAATCAATATTCCAAATGAAGGAGAAAAGAGGAGGTATGTTATTGTACAAAATGAATGATTAAATTAATTACAAATTCTTATTCTTGTATGCATACTTACGTGCATATTGGTTCGCTATGTGAATATTAAGATGATGTTTTTTGTTCTCTCAAGTAAATACTCGAACTGGTATGAAAAGGTAGATGGAAGACTTAATTTGTTTTTTCCATGGTTTGTTTTAACTAGAATAGGGAATAATAACCCATAAATGTATTATCTACTTCTTTGAAAGCTCTATTCTGTGTTTATCACTTCCTTTGAGTCCTTTTTCCTGAATATGTAATACAAAAACATATTTAAAAATTGCTATTATTTTTATGCATATGTAGTATGAACTTGGTTCTGGATCTGCAAGTTTTCAGGTTTCATATTGTCTGTTCATTTTACTCACTAATGGAACTTTTAACAGTGTTTTGCAATCTCCTGGATCAAGAAAGTCAGAACCTTTGATTGATCAGCGAGATAATGTTGTTCTTACTCCAAAGAATGTGCAGGTAACATGTTTTTATTTTTATTTGTGTGCACTATTTCCTTCAAATCGTATGTCAGATTTACTATGTCTATCTATCATTACGTTTCGGTTGAGTTCCTTAAGGAGTTGATTGATTTTATATGGTTTATGCTGCAGGCATTAAGGACACTTTTCAACGTGGCACACCGTTTGCACAATGTTCTTGGTCCATCCTGGGCTCTGGTATGTTTTCACATCTTCTGTCTTTTGAAATAAGGCCTATTGTCTTTGCTGTTAACCTTCCAATTTTCAGGTTTTAGACACTCTAGCAGCTCTAGATCGTGCTATCCATTCTCCTCATGCATCTACGCAGGTTACACCCTCTTAAAAACTGTAAAACTCTTTAATTTGTTAAAATGCTGGGTTTCTTTACAAGCTATTCACTTGCTTTTTCTCCTAAGTTAGGACATGTGAAAATTTAATATCTTCTGAATGAGAACAGAAGATAGCTATGCTTTGGTGGTAGCTGTACCAGTGTTATGACATTAAAATCTATCCAAATTTCATTTAGTTTTGAGCTACTGCATTCACTGGTCTAATCAAATCTACGAATTTCCACTTAGTGTAGGTACGTTTAGTGCGTCTTTATTCTTATATATCTGAAATCCATCACATATTCTTTGACAATACAGATTGTCAAGTAATTTGCTGAATGATCATTATAATTCTCAAACTTTGGATGACTCTGTTGACTTACTGACCATATAACACATTTTGGGGATCATCCTTTTCTTTTTTGCCTTATGTAGTCGAAGACTCGAAACTGGTCTCAGTTTTTTGAAGCTCATAATCAACTTTTTATCTATGGATAGGAAGTTCCGACGTCTGTTTCAAGACTTACTAGGGATACATCTGGGCAGTATACTGATTTCCACATCCTCTCTTCACTGAATTCTCAGGTTTAGCCAAAAACTAAAGCTATTCCGGTGTAAGTTTTTCCTCTTACGTCTTGTTTCTATTCTGATAAAGTTTTCTTTTTTTGATTGACAAGCTGTTCGAAAGTTCCGCACTGATGCATGTTTCTGCAGTGAAGTCACTCCTTTCTGCATTGTGTCAGTTGTCAAGTCAGTGCATCTTAGGAAATTCAAGTGTCACAGGTCAAGCATCCAGTCAACATACAGGAAGTGTAGCATTTTCAGTGGAACGTATGACTTCAATCCTTGTAAATAACCTACATCGTAAGTACCTGACTTTTCGACATCTGAAGATGTTTTTCTTTTGTGTGCTTATTGCTTAGTTGAAAAGTAGGTGTACTTTCATTTTAGTTGTAGAGGAGAGAGATGCTGATAATGATCAAGAAGCCAAAAGATAGTTATAAATTTTAATTTTAGATTGTTAAAATTTTCATTTTATGGTTATTAATGTCCTTAAACATTTTTATCTTTTTCAGATTTTCCTTGTTTGTTTGGTTCGTAGAGTCTTCTTTCAACTCAGGGGTATTTCTATAAATTTCAAATCAGGTGCTATATACAATATTTCTAGGGTCACCATTGAGAGGATGAATTCTTGAAATATGTGCATTGCTTTCATGAAAATTTCTTTTCCTCTTCCAACTTTTCTGGTGTGAAGGCGACACAAAGTTAGTGTGAAGGCGATGGAAAGTTAGTGTGAAGCCTTTATCTCTTTTATTTTTTTTTATTTATTTTATCTTTTTAGCAAACCTCTAGCAAACCAAAATCCATAAGTCGGAACCATTTCAAGATCCTAATTGAACTCCTAAATTCCTTACTTTAATGCTCTATTGGTCTGTCCTTGTCTGAAAACTAAACCTAAATCAATCTTATTTGATATAGTTGATCAGATTCCTTTCACAAAACAAACCCTAGGTGCCTTAACCTCTAGCACATTTAACATTCGTATACTAGTCATCATTGTTTTTTATATTCCCGACTTAGCCCGATGTATCCTTTTACAGGATTGTTGCAACCGATATGGTCTCTAAATATCCTTTACTGCTTTTTGGTTATTTTGGGTGACGTATCTCTGATATGCCAAATATATCAACCGATATGTTGACCGATATATCCTTTTATATGGCTTGTCGCAAAACAATATACCGCGTTTGGTAATTTTGGGCGAGATATCATGATTTTCCCATTACAAAAAATGACATTTTGGCATAAAAAAATCAAACGAAATGTTGCAACGTCGATTTGTAGTTTTGTTTATTTTACAAGGTTGATTAATGATCCTAAGTATATATTATTTACATTTTGTATGCTTAGATTTCATTAAGTATGTTGAGATTATATTTTAGTGTATTATACTATATATGCAAACATCTATTATGGCATTTTGATATTTACCACATATCCCCAATATTTCTCCGACATCCGCAATTTGATATGGATTTTGGCAATCCAATATTTCCCCGAAATCCAATATTTAAAACCTTGCTAGTCATGTCATCTCAAAATCATCTTCAACTTTGAAATTGAAGATCAACAAATCTGGAGGGAGAAAAAAAAAAGAAAAAAAAAAGAAATTTGTTATTGGGTGCTAAGCCTCATGCATTACCATTCAAATTGGATAATGTTCAAAAGAAAGTTTGGCTCTGATTTTATTTTAGTGATGAAGAACTCTAAGTTTGACTGAGTTATATATGTCTTCTTTAGGACATAACCTTATCCAGACAATTTAGTTGAAGTATGTATGTCCCGATCAATTGATGCAGTTACACTCAGGCTTGAGTCTTGATGGGGGTACAGATCCTTTTGGCTGACAATTTCGATTAAGTAAATGATTTTAAATTTTTGTTTAAGGATTTGTATTGTAGAATAGTTTCATTAGCCTCATTACTTGGTTTCTCATTTATGCAAATTTGTTTGATGGCCCCTTCAGTAGTTCAGGGAATTGTCCTTTATTTATGCGTCATTTATATCCAGTATCTTTTCATTTTCTCTTACAAAGTTGCACCTTCTCTGGGGTTTTCTGTTTGTGACTACACACCTCTAGCTAGGTTACTTGTATTTCCTTTGGACTTAAAAATGTAAACTGATACATCTAGTTCCCTAGATAGTTTTTTTTACTTGTATGTATAGGATGTTATAGGAGTACTATAATCTTCTCTTATAAATAAAGAATGTTTCATTTACTATCCTTATTTAACCCTGCTGTCATCTAACGTGCATTTAAGAACAGATTTATCTAAAACCCAAAGTAGAACTTTCAGAAACAAACGCCATTCTGCTAATACCCACTTTATGTACATAATTTACGAAATGCAATAAAAAATCATGAACCTTCTAAATTTAATGTTACAATATATTTGAGACATATTATACAAAGTTTCAAAACCAGTTTTTGTGGAAAGCCTTCTCTAAAGTCACCGGCAACTAATTATAACACTAGCCAAAAGCAAGCAATTGCTAAAACTGGTTGGATGAAAGTTATGGTATGGAATAGAATCAGATGCATTAAAAACTCATTAATGACTCTCAAATTAAAATATGAATTCAACACCCTAGAATTTTTTAACCAGATTATTGGACTTTCCCTTGATTAATTTTTTGCTCTTTTTCTTCAAATATCCTGTATCCTCACACAGCAATAATCTCTCCCTCCAAGGCATTTATTTATTGATGCCACGTACTACATTTGCATGAATCCGAGCTATGTGAATAAACTAATAGTTAGTCGGATAATTTGCAATTTCTTATATTCCTTCCTTGTGTTGATGCTAAAATTTTGAATTCCAAGTGCAGATGTGGGTACCAGCAGATAGCCAGATACTTTCTAAATAACATCATTTATGCATACGTATTGAAACCAAGCGGTCTACTGCTCCTCATGTTGTAGGTTCTAATCATAACCTGATGTAAAAAAGAATACCTTTTGATATAGAATTGAAATCACAAGATGCGAAGTGCTTAAACATTGTTTTGCACCTACCATGTCGAATAAGTTAGGATACTAGTTAGGAGGCCATGAAAGCGACACTCCTTCCTATCAGTTTGTGCAATCTTTGTCAAAATGATCTAAAAGAACTATCCTCAGCATTAGTATTGGTCAGAATGTTGAATCACACATACCTTAGTAGAATTTGTCCAACATGTATCATGGTGTCATTTTCTACAATGCTTAACTGTGCAGTCACCTCTGAATGTAGCCCCCTCTTTTCCTAAGTTATAGAGCATCTGCTGAAGGGTAAAAAATCTATCAGGGTGTGTTCTGATTGGATGTAGGATTTCATCTGCTGTGTCATGAATATCAGTAAACATAATTTTAACAATATTTAGGATACTCTTTTACACCTTACAGGCCTATTTTAATGTTCAAGATATTCTTTAAGGTAACAAAATGCAAGATCTGTCTGGGCAAAAACTGGGCTGGGATTATAAACTTTAAATATGGATTCATTTTCACCCTTAGATAGTCCAGTGTATAGTCAACTAGAGGATATAGTTATGTGCATTCTTATTGTGAAAATGGGTCCTTTGACAAACCCTGAATTTGTAAGACTTCAACAGATTAGAGTCAGTAGAAGTTAAACTATATGCACTGCACGGACCATGGACCTTTCAGTAAAGTAGCATGTGTAATCTTGAAAGTTATACAATTTAAGCTGTGAATTACATGATGCAAAGAATGTTATTTGGGGTTGGATATATTCAGTTGCATTGAATTTAGTTTTATTCTTCTATCAGGTTTTGAGTCCATATGGGATCAAGTCATTGACCATCTAATTGAGGTGATATCATATGCAAATTTCTCCTTGTTGATAATGTATCATTCTTTATTATTCTTTCTTTCTTTCTTTCTTTTTTTAATGGAAGATAATGTATCATTTTTTATTTTCTTTGAGAAGAACATTTTAGTCTTTTGCAGCTTGCTGATAACCCCAACCAACAGCTAAGGAATTTGGCTCTTGGGGCACTGGATCAATCAATCTGTGCAGTCTTAGGTTCGGACCAGTTCCAGGGCAGTAAAACATGTGTTCATCAATTTCCTGACTCTGAAGTGAGTACTTTCACTTGCATACACTGTCTCAATTCACAGGATGTAATAAGGTATTTAATATCTCTTTGTTAGGTGGATGGAAGTAATACTGAAATGGGATCATTTGAGTGTGCGGTTTTAGCTCCATTGCCTTTGATTTATATGTCGAGTCAAAACCCTGATGTACGTGCAGGGACTCTGAAAATTTTGCTTCATGTTGTAGAGGTACTCAAATTCAAGCTGGGATTTTCTCCGTTCAAACTCTTAATACTAAAACATTTAATATAAGTCTAATCTGACCTTTATGGTCTTTCCCCTTGCAATCGTTATTTTCAGAGGCATGGAGAAAAACTTTACTATAGCTGGCCCGACATTCTTGAAATGCTGAGGTGTTTCCTTTTTCTATACAACTTGCATTCTTTTGTCACTCTTTAGATTGAAGGATATCTGACTTCTTGATGCATTCTTTGCGGGTTTTATCTATAGGACTGTTGCTGATGCATCTGAGAAGGATCTAATTACGTCAGGATTTCAGGTGAAATTACACATCATTGTCTTTAGTAGAAGAACGATCATGAAGATTTATCAGTGTCTGTTTAGTGGGTTCTAGTGTGGCTGGCGTACCAGCAAGGCACAAATGAGATGAGGTTAAAGTAAAACTCATTTGATTTGTTTCCTTTAAGCGACAAACAACATATCTTCCAGTCTTAATGTTTAAAGTTGTTGAGCAAGTACAAGAGTGAAGCAAGGGATTCTGCAGTCTATCAGATTGAGTATTCAAGTCAATGGAGCTTGTCTCCTCTCAATCTTTCAACAACCCAACAGTGAATTAAGTGTGCTATTTGCTACCAGTGGAGATGATACACAACAACAACAACAAAGCCTTTGTCGCAAATGTTTGGGGTCGGGCCGGTCGGCTATATGAATCCTATTCTTCCATTCCATTCTACTAGGGGTCATCTCATCTGTTAAGCCAGTTATTATCATATTTTCTTAATTGCTTCCAACCAAGTCCTTTTAGGTCTATATTTAGATCTTCTAGCCCCATTAACTAGAATATTATCATTTTTTTTCTAACCGGTGCACTAAGAGGCCTCCGTTGTACATGACCAAACCATCTTAATCTATTCTCTCTCATTTTGTTCTCAATGGGAGCAATTTCTAATTTACTATGGATGTACTCATTTCTTATCCTATCTTTTAATGTATACCCATAAGATCATCGCAACATTCTCATTTCTGCTACACTCATTTTTTGCACATGTTTTTAATTGTCCAACACTCGGACCTATAAAGCAGAGTTGGTTTTATAACCGTCCTAGAGATTTTTCCATTTAGTTTCATTGATATTTTACGATCACATAAGACTTCTGAGGCACTCTTCCATTTTAACCATCCTGATTTGATTCGAAGTATAATATCATCCTCTATCTCACCATCATTCCTAACAATTGATCTTAAATAGCCAAAATGATTATTTTTAGGTATTTCTTGACCATCAATATGCACTATAGGCTCTTTTCTTTCCGTAGTTTTACTAAAACTGCACTCCATATATTTTGTTTTGTTCTATTAATTCTAAAACCCTTAGATTTAAGAGCTTGTATCTATCTTTCTATTTTAGAAAGTATACTTTTAGTTTCGTCAACTAACACTATATCATTTGTAAATAATATACACCATAGGATTTCGTTCTGAATGTGTTTAGTAAGTTAGTCCATAACTAATGCAAAAAGATAAGAGATTAAGACCGACCATTGGTGTAAGTCTATGGTAATAAGAAATGATTTAGTCTCTTCCTCATTAATTCGTACTCTAGCTGTTACTCTATCATATATATCTTTAATCGCATCAATATATAAACTAGATACACGTTTCTTTTCTAAAACCCACCACATTACCTCTCTAGGCATTCTTATCATAAACTTTTTCTAGATTAATGAAAACCATACGTAGATCATTTCTCTTCTCTCTATATCTCTCCATCAATCGTCGCAAAATATGTATTGGTTTCATAGTTGGCCTCCCGGGCATAAAATCATATTGATTTTTAGCTATACTTGTCTCCTTTTATAGTCTTTGCTCAATTACTCTCTCCTAAAGTTTTATAGTATGATAAATTTTATGCCATGATAATTTAATAACTTTATATATCTCCTTTATACTTATATATCGGTATCAAAGTGCTAATCCTCCACTTATCATGTATTCTGTTCATCTCGATAATCTTATTAAATAATTTAGTTAATCATCCTAAGCATATCTCCAAACTTCAATAGGGATATCATTCGGTACTATAACTCTTTCACTTTTTATTTTCTTTAGAGTATCTTTAACTTCGCTAATCCTAATTTTTCGACAATATCAATAGTTTCTATAATTCACTATATGGTCAAATTTTCTATTTTGCTCACTTGTTTGGTTATCATTAAACAATCGATGAAAGTAACTTTCCTACCTTTCTTTTATTTCCACGTCGGTTACTAGAACTCTTTGACTTCGCTTTTAATACACGTAATATTACTCAAATCCCTACTCTTCCTTTCTCTAATCTTAGCAAGCTTATATATATCTTTCTCTACCTTCTTAAATTCTAACTTCTTATAAAAAAAATTACAAGCATCTTTTTTGTTTCCTTCCTTGCTAATTTATATTTCTCCAAGTTTTTTCTACTCCTATACTTTTGCCACTCTATATAAATTTTTCTTCACTCTAATAATCTTTTGCACACTCTCAGTCCGCCACCAACTCTCCTTACCGTCTAATTTTCAACTTTTATATTCTCCTAGTATATCTTTAGCCACCTTCCTAATATAAGAAGCTATGCTATTCCACATAATATTTCTTTCAATATTTATATTCCATATATTTTTTTTTCTCCTTAAAATACATTAAATTCTCTCCTTTTAAATTCTATCATTTAGTTCTTAGTTTCTTATTTATGTTAGTTTCTGCTCCACTTCTTAATGGATATATCTAATACCATCAACCTATGTTGTGTCGCTAAACTCTCTCCCCGTATAATTTTACAATCTTTGCATGTTAATGTATCCGTCCTTCTAGTAAGAAAAATAATTCTATTTGACCGTTATTAAATCCACCTTTAAAGGTTATTAAGTGTTCATCCTTTTTCTAAAAGTGTTTTTGTTATTATCAAATCATATGATGTTGCAAACTCTAAAATTGATTCCCCCATATCATTCTTATCTCCATACCTGAAACTTCCATGTATTCTCTCATATTCGTGATTATTCTTACTAACATGCCCACTAAGATTCCCTCTTATAAATAACTTCTCTCCTAATGGGATTTTTTGTACCAATTCATATAAGCTATCCTAAAATTCTTTTTTAGTATTCTCAGGCAAGCCTATTTGTGGTGCGTAAGCACTAATAATATTAATAACCTCTACCTCTAATACAACTTAATATTATTTTATCTCCAACTCTTTTTACATCTATAACACTTTCTTTTATTATGTTATCTACAAGAACTCCCACTCCGTTCTATTCTTATTATGTTATCTACAAGAACTCCCACTCCGTTCTATTCTTTTCTTTTCTTGTGTACCAAAGTTTATACCCGGTCTTTTCAATTTCTCTAGATTTTTCACCTATCCATTTAGTTTCTTGTAAATAAATTATACTTATCTTTATTTTGAACATGACATCTGCTAGTTCCATTGTCTTTCCGGTAAGTGTACCTATATTCCAAGTAGCTAATCTAATTCTATTCTCTAGTAAAAGTCTCCTACTATTTTTCCTTTTATACTGTTCTAGTCTACGCCTAATACTATTTGGCAAACTATTAGTGGATTGTAGATTCTTAGAATACATTTGCTTATTTGTCATTACATCGGAGTGACATCGATGTAACACGCCGCTTTTGAGGGACGCCCTAGCAAACCACCATTGCTTACTTATCATTGCATCGGGCTGGCATCGATGCAATGCGTCGCCATGGGGATGCCCCAGTGGAGATGGATAGTCCCTAGAAAAATTCAAAATTGCATTAGTTATTGAAAGTTTAAGAGGACCTTTAACCTTGTCTAAATTGCAAGTGGAACATTCTTGTTTCAGATTAGGGAAAAGTTGTTGGTTGTTAGAACTAATACTAACCTTTGGTCTATGTAACAAATCATTGCAACCTCTCAAGTTGATTATTCACCTCCGTAAATGACAAATTTCACTGAACTATACTTGTTGAGTTAAAAAAAAAACTCTACCATTTGAGTAGATCAGGTTATAAAAAGAGGGATTTCCCTCTTCTGATCTGTGAATAACATTACCCATGCTTTAGTGATTGGACACAACAGGAACATCTGCATGTTGCACAACGCTCCCTTTTTCTTTTTTTTTCTTTTTTTCCTACTCCAGTTTTATTTTGCTCTTATAAAAATTCTGGGTATAGCTGTGTCCGAAGGGAAATCTTGAACCTAGCTAATTTGCATCATAGTTTAGAGGATGGGTTCTATATCTGTTCTCAATCTGGAATTGGCACATGTTCCCATTTTTATGCCCATTTTAATACTAATTTAGTTGAAAGTCCCAAAATAGGACGAGTTTTATGAAAAAGTGAATTTTGTTTTGGGTAGTTACTCTTTTTATGGTCACTCATCCAATTGCTTTGCTCTCTCCCTCCCTTTTGTGCAGAGCCTACGGGTCATCATGAATGATGGAATATCAACCATACCAGCACAGTATCTTCATGTGTAATATACCTTGTTATTCTTTTTAATCATTCTGGTTTTGTATGCTATGTTTTACAATTATTTTTCCTGTTCATATGGGCAGTTTGATAATACGTTGATAATTGATTTATTATTTTCTGTATATCAAGAGGTTGCTTTTGGACTTCAATTTATTGCCACTGTTATGCTGAAATTTCTGGTAGGTTACTTCTACCCTAAAGTTTTGGCCAATGCTCTTGGTCTTAAATGTTCTTCAGCTTTGTTATCATTGAACTTGCAGGTTTACAACGACATTGAACTTTTCGCTAATTGATCAATAGCATGCATTGCATCAACAATTATTTTCTCATTTCTGATTATCGTATTTCATCTTGGGCAGTGCAAACAAATTGAACATAGAGGCTAGAATTTTGAACAATTTACTCAAATACATGGGTAATTTAACTGCATCGGTATTTTACTTATAGTCTCCTCCAGAAAAGTAAGTAGAGATTACACGTGTTAGTCAATGTTGATCTGTGTGCATTGCTTTATTGTTTGAAAACTGAAAGCCTGTTTCTTTAGTTGGAGCACTTACATTAGAGAAATTGCAATGGGTAAATTTCAGGTTTAGGAATCCTTCAGAGCTAGTTCCTACTAATGGCGGTATCATTGCAAAATTTACTTTCCTTTCAATTATTTATTTATTATTATTGTTTATAGAGTTTCCTTTTGAGATATCTTGATCCTCGTTCTTGGACCCTTCGGCAGAGTCTCAGAGCTCAAGAAATGTTGTAAGGGAAGTTAAAAGAAGGTGGGCGTGAATATGATTTACTCGATGATTACTTTGAGGTTGGTTTAGAAAAGTTAAGAAATCTAAAAAATAACTAGGTTGAGGAAGATAACTCCAAATGCTGATCAAATTAGATATAGAAAAATAGAAGTAGGCTGCTCAGATGTTGAGAGACGAGCATGATAAATAATCTGTCAACCCAAATATATAATATCCATGAGATGTTTCTAACAAGGATCCTGATGTGGTTACACACCTGTAACCAAATTGACCAGTAGCTACATTAAGTACATGGTTGGCTGAGTTCAGTGCACTTGTCATTAACACAACTAACACAACTAACACAACTTAACATACTTATATTGAAGTATACTTGGATTGCATTGCTATGTTGCAGTTCTTGTTTTTAAGCAGGAGGAGATGACTTAAATACATTGAGAAGCTAAAATCAAGATGAGGTGACATAAATGGCATATTCAAGTTCAACATAGTGGATTTATAGCTTTAGTCAGTTTCACTTTTTTTTACATGAGTTGAAGCCTGGATTTTTTTACTAGTTCTATAGCATGCCTCGTTCACTTTCATGCGTAAGTGGAGAGATTGAAGACTAACTCACTCAGATTCGAGTCTCAGAGACAGACTCTCGGCATGTGGGTGTAACGCTGCATACATCTGACCTCTCTAAACTCCACAATGGTGGGATTTTCGTACACTGGGCTGCCCTTTGTGTGTGTGAGTGTATCTGTGTCTGTACCCATGAAAACCTCTAATAAGAAAACCATGGTAAGATCTAACGGCGCCTACAAGATCAACGGCTCTTACAGGGAACAAGGAGTCCCTCATTGACATCTTTCCCTCTGCGACTATGTAAGTATACAATGCATAGGTCACGTAAACCATAGTTGCATGGAACCCGGTTCGTTCTACTTCACGGAACAGGAAGGGGAGCGTCGTATGCCACTTATTTAGAATCGGGTATGAGGAGGTAGGCTTATATGGTACGCTAGGGAACGTGGTACGCTTTAGGATCGGTTTTTAAATGTAGGAATTTGACTGCTTTAATGTACCATTTTATGCAAAAGTCAAATTCAAGGATCAATCACAGTAAAAGAATTTTCAAGTTGCAATTATGGTACGCTCTTTGTTTATTTCTCTGAAAATGGTTGTTTTTTTCCGAATATATTAACTAATTTTAATTCTAAATCGGTTCGTCGGGCACGTGACCTAATTTGCTAGTGTACCACGTTCCAGGAAGATTGAACCTGGGTCATGGTTCGCTATAGTGTCCCACGTTCCCGACATCTATGATGTAAACAGCTAAGAAAGAAGTATTCACGTCATATGATATTATCTAAATTGTAGGAATAATAGTCCTCAAAGTTTTTAGAAAATAACAGCAAACAATAATATACATCATATTCTCTTTGAATGCAACAAATCTGATCATACATATTTCTTTTTAACATTGACACCTGATGGATTTTGCCACCTCAATATTTTGCCATCGGCTGGTTTTTCTGTCTATCATCTTGCTGGAACAAGGTTCAGAGGTAATGTTGGGAATTGCTTTCGTCACTTTTGACTTGTTAAGCTGCCATTACCCCCACCTACCTGTCCATCCTCCTCCTCCCAACTCGTCTAGAAAATAATCTGTAAATCAGGCCAAACCTGCATTTCCCTTTTTTAATTGTAGATAGATGTACTTGTAGTATCGGCTTTTGATTGCTAGAAACAATCATCCTTGTTTTGAATAATCTTCTTTAATTTAATTCCTGCAGATGTATTGAAGTCACTGGGTCATACAGTGCTCAAAAGACGGAGATAAATATCAGTTTGACGGCAATTGGCCTCCTCTGGACAGCGACTGACTTTATTGCTAAGGGATTAGTAAACAAGCTCGGCGAGGAAAAATCAGAAGCTGGTGATTTTTTCTGTGGTTACTGTTAACTATAGTAACTTAACCATTATTTAATATGAGCATTCTAAATTTTATCCATTTTGCATATGTGATGCTGACATTCAAGTTTCTACCGTTTTCAGAGATTGCTTCTGGTGTAGAATTCAATTCAAAGCATGGTGATGGTTTTGAAGCGATTAAAGATGAAAAGTTTCATTCAAATGATAATGTTCATTACCAAATTCCAAAAGCAGCTGGAATTGATCGTAATAAGTTGCTTTTTTCTATTTTCTCCATACTACAGAAGCTTGGAGAAGATGAGAGACCTGAGGTATAATGTTTTTGATGACTTGGCATGTGGTTCGAGTTTAATGTTTCTTTTAAGCCATCCTGTGAAAAATTTTGATGGCTCAACAGTACGCCTATTCTACATTGATAACATGGATAAATGACGAAATGTTTAAGGATCCAACGATCTTTCATTTCAAGTTCAAGAATGCGGAACAATTTGTATACTGCCAATCCATTGATCCTTTCAATGATCTAGAATGACCTTTGACTTTTTTTTCTCGTTCTATTTACTCTACTGAAATTCTCCCTAGCACGTAGCGATTTAAATATATGTGCTTTAGACCAAGATAGTAAAAAGATCTTCTCATTTATCTGCAGTTTGTTAAAGACCGTTTCAATTTATGTTTTGAAAAGCCCGCTATGAAGTTTGCTCTATTTTTTAATGTTCTCTGAAGAATAGTGATGACAATTCACTGCACAACTTTATAGGTTAAAGGTCTAAAAATGAAGCTTGCACTACTTCCTGCAAATTCTATGCAATCTGATGTGTATGTCACACCTTTGTGATTCATGCATTGAAGTGTATACTTCAACATAATGATGTGTTTTTGCTCCACAACCTCCTTCGAGTGACATAGGATGTTGACCGGTTAAGGCAATGATAAAACCACATTCTAGCACTTAATTGGATGCCTTCACATTCATCATCTATACAAGTCTGTCGGTTAAGATATCTATTACGTACTATTTTCCTATCACTGGCAACATCAGCTACAATATGAAGTCCTATTGCTGACAATCACTACTATTGTTCTGCCTTCTCTTTTCCTTTTTCTCCTTGAACTAAAAGGTACTTACATATGCTTTCAACCATAATCAGAATGTTTACATTATTTTATGATGCATAATTATATTTATGAAACATGAAAATTCTTAAAGTTACGCTTTCATTTGAACTTTAAAGTTCGCTCTCTTTGAAGGTCAAGCTCTTTACTATATTCTTCCATTTTCATAAGCATTACTTTCAATTTGTGATCATAGATATATAAGTCAACCACCTAAGGCAAATATTATCATCTTTACTTTTTTCGATTGGATAATTTTGGTAGGTTGCTTCTTGGTTTGACTAAAACATCTTACGAATATGGTTGGTTTCCGAACCACTTCATACTTATGTTTCACATAATATGGCCTAGGAAGGCGGGCGTATGCACTTCAAAATGCTGAATAAAAGAGGCTAATAATCAATATGTGGCCATACTTACTGATACGGGGTTTGCAAATAAGAATACTGCATGAAATGAAGTTAGTGTCATCTATGGTCCTGAAAGTAGGGTGGTGGGAGAAAACACCACCACCCCACAGAACATCCGCATGCCAGAAATACATATCTACACAGACACATTGCCTTCCCAAAATAAGTAAAAAAACCTTTACGACTCAGGATAACCACCCAATCACCTAACAAAAAGAGCGAAAAAGAAATTGTCAGTGATTTAGGTTTTCTCAAGCTACAATTCACTATCCTTTTGATTTTTCAGCTTTGTAACTTGAATCCGAGCAAGTTCATAAATACTCTAATAAATAATGTACTTCTACGCCTTTGATACTTACTGGCTGTGATGAGAATTTAAGTCCCTCTGTTCTCTTCTGGCCTTTCAGAAGCAACAAAGTCCTCTGTCCTCAAGTGAGTCATAGTCAATCTTCTTTTTTTCGGATCATTCAACTCTAACAGTAAATGAATGATAATTTATTCATTGTTTCTTGCTTTCTTAAGCGTTAGAATGTTTCATAATGTGTTGCATGTTAGCAAGACCTTATCGGACTTTGGCATTTAAGCTAGAACACTTTAGTTCACCTTTGTGTCCAGGGAGATTAAATTGCTAGGTCATAGGTGTAAACATCAAGCTACCAAGAAAAATCTTCCCTCGGACTTGATTATCTGTGGCATGCTTGCATGGGCAAAGATTAATTTGTAGCAAAAGTTGTTGGTTTTAGCATTTTTTTTAGAACTAGGATTTCGAAAAAAAAACATGAAATTTCCACACGGTTCTTATCTGAGATGCTCAAGCTAACACATTTGGCACCAATGTATATCTAGCTAAAATTATAATTGCAGAGTCATTGCAATTCGAGATATATGGTGTGTACATTAGACTGTTTCCTTCCTTCTTTTCTCTAGCAGCTTTTTAAACATAAGATTTATGGTTACTTCCATGTTTACTTCGTTTTAGACTGAACTGTGTAAATTGCAAAGCATACCAATGCTTTCTACAAAGTTTGCAAAGATAATTTGGATCTTCTTATGTTGTGATAGTTATAATATATTTTTTATTCCTTAGTTTGTAGTTTTTGTAGTTATCTCTTTTACGGAATTTTCATGATTATAACTGGTGTTATAGGACTTAATATGTTAGTTTATGTGGAGTTAAACCACACTACGGAAATATATCATGGTTTTTATCATTGTCTTGAAAGACCTTCATTGTTCTGTGTTACGAGTTCAAGTTACAATCTAATCTAATATCATGCTAAAAGTGTGTTGCCATGTTAAAACATTTCTTCCGTAAATATCCTCCAAGTTATGCTAAAACATATACATGCATACATAAAAACACATACATGAATACATAAAACACATACATACATAAACCATACCCCTTCAAATCTTTCTCATAACCACCAATTAAATTAAATGTAATAAATACACCTCCAATTTGCATTCACTACCATTAGAAAATTAATTCAATTAAACTCTTTCTCTATTATTATATAATAATAACTCAATATAATAATACTATGTAGTAGTAATAATAATAATAATAATATGTAATAACATAGCCTATTATGCAATAGCTTCAAATTCTTATCGTAACTGCCTATTAAATATCATCATCAATTTAATAGCCCTACTAACTACAAATTAAACTCTAACCATTCATATCCCTAACCTCTCTAGGATCATTTCCTACATAATATCCTATGATTATAAAACTCAATTGACATTCCCAATCAAACAATCAAGCTCCAACTTCTCAAAGTGTAATCTCTCACTCTCTCCCTCTCAGTCTCTCTCATTCTCCATTGGCCTCCTTCGAACTCCGTCAACAACTGCCTTCACCTCCTGACCTTCGCAACTAGCTGCCACAGTCCTGGCCAATTCCACTGTTTGCTCTGGTGAACAGTAAAGAGAGGAAGTAAAAAAAGATAACCGTGCCTATTTACTTTCATTTCCATTAATCTCGAATTGGTTGGTGTAATTTCAAAGGTGGATCCAGTCATTATGATGGTCTGGTATGTTTGATTTTATGATGAGCTTCAAGTTTGTGTAACTTAATGTAGTAATGAGAAATTGTGAGATTTTCTTTGTTATTTTGTTAGGGAGATCCAGTGTTCATGTGTGACTGTAAATGGTGAGAGTGAGTTGTATACTTTTCAGTTATGCGTGAATAAGTACTTCATGTTCATTTAGTGAGTGAAAATTATTATTCATTGACCAAATAACTTGGTTGGTGCTATGTTTCATAGAGCTTCATGTGGGAAGGAAATCATTACTCAAAAAATGTCATTTATCCTAATTCATTGTTACACATTTAAAATTTAATAACTACAATGAAAAAACATATTTAAATTATTTATAAATCCAATTAGTAAGTTTATAAATTAATTTAATTAAAATTATTTTCTTTAATGAGATAATTAAATAATTTTTTTAAGAAGCTAAGGTATACGAACTCTTGGGGGTGAACCCGTCGTCGTTTGACCCTTCATCCACTCGTATCAATTTTAACGGTTTTGAATGAATAGAACTTTTCACATGGCTCGATGGAGGGTCAAACGACGACGGGTTCACCCCAAACTTGGTGTGTTGGGGTTTTAGAATATGTAGTCAAGTTCAACGGAGCGGATCATCCACAATGTCGCCCAATCATGTGATTTTAGAGGCGTCATAGGAGGAAATCCCCTCCTATGACAAGGATACCCATTAATCTCATATATAAAATACTAATCTAAATAACTCACTGTCATTATGTGATTCATTTATTTTTGAGAAATGAAAGACCCTTCCATCCGTTAATTTTAAAAAAAAATTAGGATAATAGTTAAAAAACGAAAACAAATGTAGCTTAATAATAGAAACCTAATATTACTAAGGTAAATATAATATAAAGTACATTTGTTAATATAATCATAATTTAGTGCATTGTAAATATTCGAGTATGTCTACGTGCAACGCACCTATGCTATAGTAGTTCAACTAAATGCATCTCATTGTTATTAACTCTCATTACAAGGGAAGTCTCAGCTCTTAGAAATTTGAAAACTTATCTACTTGCCAACTTTTATCATTTTTTTTGTTCAACTTTGGACTTCACTGCAATTTTTGTTCATAGGTAAGGAACTCAGCCATTCGTACTCTTTTCCAAACTCTGGGTAGTCATGGGCAAAAAATTTCTAGCAGCATGTGGGAGGAATGCCTCAGGGATTATGTGTTCCCGATTCTAGATTGTGTTTCTCACTTGGTAAGCTTGGTACCTCATAAAAAAGAGAACCTTTTTTTCCCTGAAGTTATCTGTTCTTATATGCGCCCGGTTAGTATTATTATTATTTTTTTTTTTGTAGGCAGCAACATCATCTAAAGATGAATGGCAAGGGAAAGAACTAGGAACACGAGGTGGGAAAGCTGTCCATATGCTAATCCATCACAGGTATGTTGAAGTGTTGAAATTTAAGTTGCTTAGTTTTCCTTAATAGTGATTCATATGTTTGTCAGATTGTTTATTGTGGTTTGATTTTTTTTCTTGGAACTGACAACATAGCTTTGCAGTCGAAATACGGCACAGAAACAGTGGGATGAAACACTTGTTCTAGTACTGGGTGGAATAACGCGGTTATTACGATCATTTTTTCCCTTTCTTCAGAGATTAACCAATTTCTCTGCCGGTGAGTCTTCATGTTATTTCACTTTCTTACTGAAACTTGGATGCCCCGATTAATTGAATTAGTCATCGCCTAACTAAGAGTTATGATGTCACAGGATGGGACCATCTTCTAAATTTTATTAAAGATAGCATCCTGAATGGAAGTAAAGAAGTTGGTCTTGCTGCAATAAGCTGTTTGCAAACAATTGTTAGTTCCCATTGTCCAAAAGTAAGTTCCAATTGTCAGTTTCTAATCATCTGTTGAACTATTGTGCGGATGATTGAAAGTTATTATTATTTTTGTTTCCTTCAACCCTGAGAATGGTAGGCGATTAAGGCATCAATCCATTGATTACAAATGTTTCCCTTATCATTAAATTTATCTCTAACTTTGACTGGAAATTTATTATGTTAGTATGTTTAATTAAATCAGGGAAATCTGGCTGTACAATACATCAAATCTTTGCTTGATGTGTATGAGCTTGTACTTGAAAGGTCACCTAATTATAAGGGCGCTGCAGCTAACAAGGTGAAACAGGAGATTTTACATGGTCTTGGTAATGCATCTGATTCACTTGATCTTGTATATTTTGTTTGCTCCAAATTTTTGTGTAACCTGCATTAAATTATGTTTATATACTAGGGGATCTGTATGTCCAGGCGAAAACTATGTTCGACTCTGACATGTATTTGCAGCTGCTAGCAATCCTTCAACAAACAATTAGAAATTCCAAGAGTACATGTGATATGGATATTGAAATTGTAAGTCAGGTGTTGTTAAATAGTAATCCTGGCCCTTATGCCATTTACTACTTGTTGAGTGTTTCTGTAGGGACACTTCCATAAATTCAGTGACAGTTCCTACCTGCATCAAGTTTATTTAGGTGTTTTGTAAATATTTTGAACTGTTTAGTAAAAGTATTCTTTTCCAGGAAACTGTTCTGCCAGTACAGAAGGCAGTTTTGGAGATTCTACCTCTTATACGGCCAACTGAGCATTTGTCTTCTATGTGGTCCCTGTTACTTCGAGAACTTCTCTACTATCTGCTTGGATCTGAACCCCACTCCCCAGGGAATAAAGAGGAACTACCAAGTAGTGGAAATGTTATTGAGCTAGGATCTCATCTTGCTGTTGGTTTGCAAATTAATGGTGGTGATTCCAGTATCATCAGTAAAGAAATTCGGCTGAAACCAAAACCTTCTGTTCTTGGCGCTTCTTCTATTTCCATGATGAAAGTGGGGCCTTCTTCTCCTCGTCCTGGTGAATTTTCTTCTTATGATACCATGACATTTAGTTGTCATTTGTTTGCGGAGAAGCTTGTGCCTATTATTGTGGAACTTTTTTTGGAGGCTCCACCTATTGAGAAGTGCAACGCGTTCCCTGAAGTCATCTGTGGCCTTGGAAGGTAGAGTATGCTTCTATGGTTGCATACATCACATATAAGCAGTAAATAATCTGGTTGACTTGTGATTTGTGATAAAGCAAGAGCAAATAGCTATTGAACTTGTAGAGATTTTTTGTTCCATATTCCACTTTGTAGGCATATTTCTTATTTAGGTAGAATCCCACTATCTGCAACATGTTTTATCTGAAAGAGTAAATTTTTTTACATTTCCACTACTGTCTGTCCATGAATTGTAGACAGGGTTATATGTGTTACATTCACACATTAGGTCATGTTATTCCAGTTGTTTTCAAGTGTCATACTACAAACGAGCTTCTCGTCCCATATCATTTTCCTTCATCAAACCTATTACTGTTCAGTGGAAACTCTTTCTTCTTTTCCCTCATTACATTACTTGTAACTGCTTTTTGTACATTATACTCTCTACGGTATTTTGGAAAAATAAAAACGTCCTCTTGGATTCATCATGCATGTTTGCACTTTCACGTGATGCTCAGACATGAAAACCCTAAAAAAAGACTAGACTGACATACCACCCTTAGATGAAATCAAATTGAGTGTCAAATCAGGCAAGTCTTGCAACATTTTTTGCATGATGTTTTAGGGATTAAAAGGAATAATTAGAATAATTCTTAAAGATGTTCTGAGACCTCCATGGTGGACATGTTGAGGGATGTCTGTAACTTCAGGCGTAAACTGAAGTGGACCCACAGGCTCCAAGAGTATCCCTGCTGTAAGTAGACCTGATTAGATATCTTAGCGTCCCATATGTGTCTTATTAGCCCATCCTTGAATGATCATTATGACATTAATATTATCGAAATTAGATTTGTTATTACTAGAACCTGTTCATGAATTGTAATGCTTTATTAACTACAATGTTAAATTATTCTTTGATCTCTCAAACAGCAATCAGTTGTTGGATTTGTAGCCTACTGAACGAAGAACCAAATTGTGTTATTACCAAGGTTTATTTCTTGACATTCAGGTGCATGACTACTAGAAGAGATAATCCCAAGGGTGCTCTTTGGAGGTTAGCTGTTGATGGCTTCAACCGAATTCTAATAGATGACTTGAGCAGAGTGCATGAGTATAAAAAAGATCCAAATATATTTAAACTTCCACGTGCTCGCCTCTGGAAAGAAGTTGCAGATGTTTATGAAATATTCCTGGTTGGTTCATGCGGACACGCTCTATCTTCTGATCCTCCTTCAGCTGAGGCACTCAAGGCCGATGAGTTAATTGAGATGACTTTTCTTAATGTTCTTGGAGACCGTGTTCTAAAAGGGCAAATAGATGCTCCAATTGAGGTACTTTTACTCTGTTGTTTTCTCACAGGAGGTGGTCTATTTTCTTTATGGGGTTATCATTCAGATATCATGATTTGCCAATTTGATAACATATATTCTCTGTAAAGGTATTGCAGCGCTTGGTTACAACTCTTGATCGTTGTGCATCTCGGGTTGGCTCTTTACCTCTTGAGAGCGTCGGACTTATGCCTTTACACTGCAGCAGATTCTCACTGAGTTGCCTACAGATGTTGTTTTCTTTGTGCAGGTAAAGTTCACTCTTTATGGAGGGGTGGTGTATTGTGATCTGTCATGTTCTGTTCTATATATGAACTTGCAAAAATTGACACAGTATTCTGGACACCAGAGTGAACATTCTTGCATGCATGTCTATATTGTTCATATTATTTCTCATTATTTGCTTCCAGTGCATGCAACCCTCAAGTCTAGGTCTTTCTTTGTGATCTTCTGTGATCTTTTTTTTACATTAAGTGCTCTGGCAGTGAGATAGAGCGCACTTTATCAACATCTAGATGGAACATATGAGCTTCTGTAGAAGATACTTTGCCAAATGCCAAAAGAGGTGTGGTTCAGGTGGTGCTAAAGTTAATTAAATTTAACAACTCAATTACTCTTTATTTTTTCTCAATTAAGGTGCAGTATGTGTTGAAAAGATTATGGTATTATTCTAGCTTTTTTTTATAGGGAAATAGATTCATTTTTGAAGTATAGCATAAGCTAAAAGGTTGAAATGGATAGTCAGAATAATTGTGATTCTGAGATATCTTTAGTTACATCTGATCTATGAGTTAATGTTCTCATCGTGCCTCTGTGGAAACATATTTATTCCTTTATTGTTCAGTTTTACTTCGAAAGAAAGTTGGTCTCCGTCGAGAACAGAAGTTAGCAAAGTCTCCTTACCTATTCTTATGAAGAGATGTGAAAGTATATTGGACCAGTTTTTAAGAGACGAGAACCACCTAGGTAATAGTTCTTGATATAGATCATTATCTTCTGGAAACTATTCTTAAATAAAACAAATTATCTCCAGGCTTTAATTTTTGTTGGTGTTCTATTCTTCTTACAGGTGAACATCCATTGCCAACCGTGAGAGTTGAGGAAACACTATGTGTTCTTCAAGAACTTGCTCGACTTGTTCTTGATTACAACACAGCATCAGTTCTTCCTTTACAACCAAATCTAAAAGTTGTAGGAGATAAGGATAATCCCGGTGCTCGTGCACACCTTTTCCTTCTATTCCCATCTTTTTGTGAGCTTGTTGTTACAAGGTGCGTGTTTCATCATACTTGTTCAGGTTAATTGCATATAGACCCCTACAGTATCACTGTTTAATGAACTTATTACACTACGATGTTTAATGAACTTATTACACCTGTAGTTTTTCTTTTGCAGACAACCCCCTGAGTAAATTTTCTTTCACTATTTTACCCTCAATGGCCTAGTTAAAAAAAAAAATCTTTATGAGGATAGAATAGTCAAAATAAAATTCTCTATCTGCAAAAATAAAAGTAAGAGGGGTAGTAAGTTCAAACCGTTGATGCTACAAGGGGTCTATCCTCAATTAACCCACTTATTTTTCTGAGAAATATTTTTGATGAGTTGGCTTATCCAAAATGCTACTTTGGCAGGGAACCTAGGGTAAGGGAGCTCGTACAGGTTCTCTTAAGACTCGTTGCTGCCGAGCTTGGAGTGCAAAAGAGTTCCTTAAGCATCTGACATGAGACAGGAGAGCAATAACAGAATTCTTTTGTACACTTTGTATGTATCACACCAATCCAAATTTTCAGTACGAGTTGTTGATTATGTGATCTTCACTTTGTTTTACGCCTTTTTCTGCAACAATTTTTGGTTTACTTATATATTTGTCTTATATATTTGTCACGTATTCTGCTTCCTGTCTCTAGATGACGTTATGGCGCCTTGGTCATTCTGCTTATTTTTTGTTTATTGCATACAAGCGTTATGCCCGTGCTCAGTTGACTTGATTTTTCTTTAAATTTGTAAAGCTTTTTTTTTTTTTTGTTCAATAAGATTATTAATATATGTCCTCCCTATAAAAATTGAAATATGGGTAAATTTTCACTAAACCCCCAATATGACTGGGTATTTGACACTAAACTGTTACACCTTTCAAGCTCTCACTAAACTCCCAATAAAACAACTTTTTTGCAGAAAGCTCTCAAATTGACTTGTTAGTTAATGTGTGACCAAATGATCAAAATATCCTCAATAAATTTTGATAAGAAAAACGTCCAATAATTTTTTAGCTCTCTCCCTTGACCCCAATAATTTTTGGTGGACAAAAATGGTTATATATTATTTTCATGGTTCTATATTATTTTTAGGTTCTTCAAGAGGTTGTTTCTAATTTTGGGATTTAAAAGGTGTTGTTTGCAATTATTGGTATTTTTCGGGTGGGTGGGGGTGCGATTTTTAATATTCAAATTTTTTGGTAGGACTTTGCATTTTTTAATTTTTGATTTTTTGAAGGCTTTTTGTAGTTTTAGATATTTTTAGGGGTTGTTTGTATTTTATATTTTTAAGGGATTTGTTGGTAGTTTATGGAGTTCTAAGGGAATTGTCTATAATTTTTTAGAATTTAAAGAAGATAGTTTGTAATTTTTAGATTTTTTAGTTGTTTGTAATTTTTAAAATTTATAGGGGTTTTTGTGATTTTTAGATTTCTTAGGGGTTTGTTTGTAATTTCATAGTTTTCAAAGGTTAACTGTATTTTTTATATTTTTAATAGTTATTTGTAATTTTATGAGTTAATCTGCAAATAGAAATGATTAGAGAGTTATATATTGGCCTTGGGGGATGAATCATGATACTCATCATTGTAAAATAATGGGTTAGTGCCCTTATGTTGTTAAGTGTAAAAAATCAAAATATTTTGGTGGCTTGCTAAAATTCTGAACTTATCAGGGTTTCAAAAAATTTTGCAGACCTAGTATCAAAATGGCTAAACTTATTGAAGGTGTTCTAAAATTTATCTTTTAAAAAATTGAGGAGATACATGTGATAATTTTTTGAAATGTAAGGCTATAAACCTCCTTTATGAATAAAAGAAAAGATAATTAAAATATAATTATTAGATTTTTTTTATTATGGATAATCAAAGAGAATTAAAGATATAATTTTTTGATATTCAATTATCAATAATTATGATTTAATTAGATTATTAATTATTTAATTATAATTACTTTTTTTTAATTACGAATAGATTTAATTTGACGAGGGTTCTAATTATGGATAGGAAATACCATTCATGTATGAATTTTAATTTTTAATATTAAAAGCATGAATTTTAATTTTTAATATTAAAATAATTATTTTATGTTTTTTAATATTAAAATATTAAAATAATATATGACATGTGTCATTATTTTATGTACTTAGCTTACATTGTTTTATGCACTTAGCTGGTGTTGTTTGGTGCCTTCAGGAATACCAACAATTTCTCATTATATATAAAGGAGGGATTATATATAAAAGAGGGATCATTAATTGTGTACAAGTTGTCTACAATTGTAATATAATTTGAGGATGAGGATGTAGTTTAAAACATAATTATACGTTCTTCTATAATAATGTTTAAAAAAATTGGCTTTATTTCTTGCAAAAATCGACCATCTGCTTGATCGCAATTTTTTTAATTAGAAAACTATAGCTAAACTATCTTCTTACAAGTTTTTCCTACAATATACTCATCTAATTAGCTAATTATAACATGGCAGGTAAACTTTGATCATGCGAATTTTCTCATACAAATGACAAACACATGTAACCTACAATCATGCGAATTTTGTTGTATACACCACAGATGTAAATTTAAACGGTTTTTAATTATTTATTTTCTTGCAAATATATTATTCCAGGGAACTACTACATTTTCATATTTTACAGTACCATAGAAACACAGCACGCGCGCTAGCTGCTGCTGCTGCTCTCTCTCTCTCTCTTTACACGACCCCGGGCTTATTCATCCTCGATGCTGCTTCCATCGCGATGGAAACGCCTGCTTCCTCTTCGCTTGGATTATTTCTCCCCTCAGCTTCTTTCACTCTCTCAGCATCCTCCCTCGTCACCACTTTATCCTTCGCTAGCTTTGTCGTCGCATCATCCAGCACATCTCTAAGCGCCACCTTCTCCTCGTCGACGCTCCGATCAGCTCCGGCGTTCGACTCCGCTGCTCCCTGCGCTCGCGCGGCGATCCCTCCCGGAGCAGCGGTGCCGAGGCCCGTTGCCCTTGCTTCCGCTGCCTGGATCGACGCGGCGTCGGATTGATCGACCGGT